TCCCTTTTCTTCCCTTTTTTCCCCTCCCCTCCACTCCCCTTCTCTTCCCTTACACTTATTTTTTTTTGTCAGTACTTGAATTCAGGGTCTGGGTACTGTCCCTTAGCTTTTTCATTTGAGGTTAACACTCCACCTCTTGAGCCACAGCTCCATTTATGGGGGGCTTTGGGAGGGTTGTTTGTTTTGGGGTTTTTGTTTGTTTTGCTTTGTGGGCATTTTAATTGTTTTGTTTTTGCTGGTTAATTGGAGATAAGAGTTCATGGACTTTTCCCCCCTGTGTTGGCTTCAATCTGAAGTCCTCTGATCTTAGCCTCCTAAGTAGTAGAATTACAAGCCTGAGCCATCACCTGACTGTGAACATACATTTTCAATTGTTTCAACTATATCCTTAGGAATGAAAGTGACCAAAGATATTTTAACATTGCAATATTAACTGAATAGGCTTTATCAAATATCTACCTGTTTATCCTTATATATCCATATGTCAATCCACTTTATTGGGGGGGGCAATTCACATTTTTTAAGTTTTCTATTTGATTTTTAAATTTTAAATTTTATTATTAGTATAAAGATGATGTGCAGAGGGGTTACAGTTACATACCACTTTATAGTCTGACACACTTCAGAATAAATGGCAACCGTCACACCTTACCCCCCCCCAATTCATCAGTATATCTATTATTAACTAGAACTCATATGTTTACTTTTGTGTGCAATTGAAAGTGAAGTCTGAAATGTACTATACAATGAGCTTTAAGCAGGACTACACCTGTGAAATCCAACAAAACTTGCAGATTCAGAATGTGGTCATGCCCTAGGATGCCTCAAGCCTCAAGTCATCTTGACCCCTGCCCCCTGCTGTGAAAAGATAGTGGTCATTCTTCCTCTTGTTGAAAATCACTTTGCTTGTTCTAGACTTCATAGAAACAAAATCATAGTGTGTACTCTTTTCTTTCCTCTGACTTTTTTCATTAGCACACTTTGTTTGGACAGCATCCATGTTTCTAAATGTAGCAATATCCAGGACTTTTTGTTGCTAAATTGGATTCTGTCTTCCTCTGGTTTGAATTAATATATCAGAGGTTGTTTATCCTTTTCCTGGTGAGGAACACTTTTCAGTTGGGGCTTTTTATCAGTAAAGTTGCCATGTTCACTAGCCTGTTCACTAGCCTGTAAATCTTGATGTAGACCCATGCTTTTATTTCTCTTAAGTAAATATTTAGGATTAGAACTGTGGCACATAATAAGGTATGTGTTTAATTTTACAAGCAACTGTCAGACCTTTTAAAAAAATGGAGTAGTTGTACTTTTCATGCCTACAACAACATATAAAGCTTATAAATTTCCAGGAAAAAACAAAAACACAAGTGTAAGCTGCTGCTAATTAAATTATTTTTTTAAATTTCCCCCATCCTATCTTAAAATTTTAAAAATTCACATTCTGAACACCATAGTTGATAAATGGTTGCCTTGACTACAATCACAAATAAATGACTCAAAATGAGAGGGGAAAATGAGCAAATAAATAAAATGAGATGCATTTTCTTTTTTTTTTTTTTTCTTTCTTTTTTTCTTTTTGCCAGTCATGGTGCCTGAACTCTGGGCCTGCCACTGTCCCTCAGCTCTTCAGCTCAAGGTGAACGCTCTA